ACCTAATACTCGATAAATTCCAACATGGCGAATACCGTACTCGCTACCAACTACCCTACCTACTCTCTATTTTTCGATACCTCTAACAGCTACGACCGTCTAACAGAGTAGTTTCCCGCCTCTCGTTATCTAAATGCTTCCACCGTAGCGTGTTTTGTCATTGTATATCTTCTTTTTTTTTTGTTTTGTTTTGTTTTGTTTCTCTTCGCTTTAGCTCGGTAGTAAACAGTAGTTTGTAGGTTGTATTTAGTACTCGGTATTAGTAATAATAGTAGTAGTAATAGCGGTAGTAACAGTAGTAGTAGTAATATCAGCAGCAGCAGCAGCAGCAATAGTAGTAGTAGACGTAGATAATAATAATAACGAAAGTAACGATTACGCACTACTGTCGGTAGTGATAGTAATATACAATAGTAGTAGAGTAGAATAATAGTAGTAGGAGTAGCGATGGTGGTGGGTGGTAGGAGTTTAGTCGTCGTTTTCTTTTTTTGTTTCGTGTGGTAAAATTACTGAAGTGACAATAGAGGGTGTAATTGCAGTGATGATAGTATCTGCGGATAGCGGTAGTAGCGGTAGTAGTAGTAGTAGTAGTAGTAGTAGTAGTAGTATAGTAATAGTAATAGTAGTGGTAGTAGTAGTAGTAGTAGTTGTTGTTGTTGTAGTAATAGTAGTTGTAGTAGCAGTAGCAGTAGCAGTATTAGTGGTAATAGTAATAGTAGTGGTAGTAGTAGTTGTAGTAATAGTAGTAGGTTTTAGTTAATAGATCATTTTTTTTTTTTTTAATAGTAGCACTAATTTTTTTTTTTTGTTAATAGTAATAAATTTATCCTCTGCGAAATTGTTTTGCGTTTTTTTTCATTTTTAATTCTCCTCGCGGAATTAGCTAGGCTGGTAGTTTGATGCGCTTTGTTAAAATTTTTTTTTCCTTCCACTAACTAAAGTAGCGAGGCGAAAAGTTCAAGTACTCGTAATAAAGGCGCGTAACATAAATCTCAGTATAATTATTGTTTTGTTACCTGTCTCGCTCTCCTGGTACCACACTCGCCCCCACGATCTTTCATCATCTCCACATTTTCCCGCACACGCACTGCTACACGCACCCGTACGTCGCGCATTCACAAAGCCTCATTCTCTCCGATTTTCTCTTACAAAACACACGCGCAATTATGCTTTCTTCCACTCGTTCTTCGATTCGCCACGGTATCAAAGTTTCGCTTCTTCTTGCCTTTGCTCGCTTCGTCTAATAAAAGGTAGATGAGATATATCCCTTCGATAAAACTCGCGTCTAAGACCTAATAAATTGAATAATGGAATCGCTTTTATATTTTTTGTTTTTTTTTTCTTCTTCTTCTTCTTCTTCGTTTGCTTGCATCTTATTCGATTTGTTCGTTTAAGTTTCCGCCCACCGCGCGTCACGTTTTATATTCGTTTGTCTCGTTTTCTCGAATAACCGCTAATGTTTTTTGCAATATTTTTTCCTCTTTTTTAATATCGTTCTCACTATTAACGTCAGACTTCCTTTGTTCATCGTAGTCGGTTATCCGTGGGAATGCGTGCGGATCGCGTTTCGATCGCTCCGTTGTTCGAACGAACGGCGTCTTCCCGCGGACCTTGGGTGCCGGTACAACGGCGGCCGAAAAGTTCCGCCGGTGGGAAAACCACGGAGTCGCGCGCGACCGACTCGACCAAACCGTGACGATCGAGTCTCGCGCGCTTCGAAGTTGACGAAAAACATGAAAAAAAAAAAGAAAAAAAAGAAAAAAGAAAATACGGTTCAGCCTCTCTCGAGCGTTCCAGCGGAAAAAAATTCGACGCGACGAGTGGACGGGCGCGACCGCTTTCGTCGAGCGGTAACCGAGGGCGATCGTCACGGTTCACGACGACTTCAACGGGAACTTCTCGATCCCGAGCGATTGGCCCATTGCACGACGGATCCGATCGGAAAGTGTTCGAGCACGGACGACGTTACTTCGAAATGATCGTGGACGTATCGTTTACGCGACGTCGTTACTTCTTTAGTTCTCGTTTAATTTCCGTTTTATTTTACTGAGAATGGTGAAATGGCAGTCTTGGCGATTTGGAATTGCGCTTTCTCCCGCCAGGAAAGAGGCGAAACATTGAGATGACAGCGAAGAGATAGGGAAAGCGCGGTACTTCCACGTCCGGGGGATCGATTGGCCTGCCAATTCGTTTTGCCATCAACTCGAGACGCAACAGAAAATTGCTTATCCGAGCATCGTCGTACCGATTTCCTCCTCTCCTATTCTCTCTGCGTTCTTCTTCGGACCCTGTACACGTCTGCCGCGCTCTTCTGCCTTCGCGCAAAATGCAGAAAAGAAAGAAAGAAAGAAAGAATGATAAAAAAAAAAAAAAAAGATAATAATCTCGACCTCGCGCAGTCTGCCAAGCAAGGCAAAGAAACGCGAAGATTCGAAGTGAAAGGTCCCCCTTAACCGTACGTTTCTTCTTTTGTCGGCCGTTCACCCTTTCGGCGATCACTTTTTTTTTTTTCTCGTTATCGTTACTTTAAAAGTAGTCTGGTGTTTAAAAATACGTAGGTAACGCTTTAAAATACTGCTTCGCGTTGGCATTCGTCGTGCAAACTCGTTCGTCACGGTTTCAAAGACGTATACGATTCGCTAAAATTGTAACGCGCGTACGACTAATTCTATAACTAATAATTCGCTTATTCTACTGGACGCTCGGCCGAAAGGGTGCGAAAATTAGCTCTTTTTCCCGATCAGTCGACGCGTGTCGTGATCGTTCTCAACCGTTAGTGGAAAAAAGGGTGTCTCGCGAGTGGAAGAGAACAAAATATGCGACGTCCCCCCCTCTCTTCCCGCTGTTTCAAAAATAATCGTGACCCAGTCGACGGACCGCGAGTCAGAAGGGCGAGAAAATAGTTTCCGGTGTCTCGATACCTGTCGTCCGAACGATCTAATCTCGCGTCGTTCCTCTCCAAGCAATTCGTGTCGTTCACGATTTCAAACGTCGATCGAATCGAGTGGTAATTTAAATTTATTCCAAGTCCGCGAATCAATAATTTCGTCTAATTTAATTAAATACGCTAAATATATTCGATAGGGTGATTGTCAGACTATTCGATACTCGTCGAGTTCCCTAGGAGACCAAAATTTTGTCTAATAGTAATCCTAACAGTAATTCGTTAATTTTTTGGCTTCGTATCAAACACGTTACACCGAAGAATGAAGTTCTTCGTCTCGTAACGGATTCCGAAACAAACACGATGGATAAATTGTTCGGGTATTCCTTGTTTCAGGTAACCCGAGACGGCACGCGACATTTTTGGACGCCTAAACTAAAGATTCTCCTGGCCTTCTGACTCGCGACACCTTAGGCTCCCGCCGGTTAACGCGCGAATCATGGCGACAACAAAAATGATCGTTCACTCGAACGTTTCTCGAGCGTCTCGACCCGCGCCTCTTTTCCTCTATCTTGGCCGCAAATCGGTTCGTTCGCTACCTTTGCTTTTCCGTTTGACGCGCCGTAAGGGTCCTTCGCGCGGCTAAATCTCGCCGAGTCTCCGCGTGGCACTGCGTTCGCTGCTACTCGACTCCCTCTTCTACGCCAAATATCGGATTGGACAATAGGAGGGTAAGTCACGTGACTTCCGAGCGTGATCCGTGGCTGTCAGTCAGCGCGCTATTGCAAGCTTGTCGCACCGTTCGCGCCGATCTGCTGCGACCTCGAGTTGCTCGTTCGAGTCTCGCGGAATCAGGATGACGCGGCAAGGAAAACTTCTCGACTAGCTGCTTTCCTCGCTTCCGGTTCCGGAGCTCGTACCTCGGATCTCGGTCGACGTTGGTGTCTCGATCGTGTGGAACAGGGGAGTCCTCTCCGTCGTAAATCTTAATTAGACATCGTCGGCGCGATTCGTGGAATTTTTCGAACCGAGTATCTTCTCTTTATCGCGTTTCCATTCGACTCCCCGACATTCTGCACGGTCGAGGGATCGACGTTGCTCCGAGTAGAATATTTCCAAGTATCGTAACAAACGTCAGTGGTGGCATACCGCGTTCGCCGATGCTTGCCTACGTAACAAGAGCCATGCGTGTGTATATATATATATATATATATATATATATATATATATATATATATATCTGTTTGTGTTTGTTTGCGTGTAATTAGAGGTGCGGTGTTACGCTCCGAGAAACGAATTGTATTCCAATCGTCTAGCGTTTTAAAAAGATACGTCGATGCCGGCTTACTTCTAGCGGTTATCCACGGTGGAAAAAAAAAGAAAAAAAGGAAGAGTTTTCTCCGCTGCAAGACACGCACGTATCCGTAGCCGTTCTCCGTACGTAACGCCTACAGGTGTCTTTGGAAGTCGGTCTTCTCGCCACGAGCGCAATCGCAGTTTCCCTTCGGTTCTCTTCTCTGTCGCTCTCTCTCTCTCGTCTTCGTCGTCCTCTCTTCCGCTCGATCGTGGCTTCGTCCGTATTCGCGAAGAGTTGTCGATATTATCGTTACGACGAACGTCGTTTACGTCATACCTTTGCCTACGTGTACTCGATTAATTATATCGATAATAATTAATTAGTATTATCTCTTACGATTTCCCTGGTTTCGTCGCCGGTCGGTTCCCCCTGTCGCCGACCGAGTGCCGTGTTTGCCGACTCGCGCGAATAACGTCGTCAGGGAGGGGGGATTTGACGACGATCGTTCGTTATTATTACTTTTTTTTTTTGTTTCATTTTTTTTTTCTCCCTCGCGAAGCCGCTGCGATTCAACTCTCTTCCCTTTCGTTTATTTGTTACATTTTTTTTTTTTTTATTTATTTGTTATCATTTGTAGTGAACACTGGAGTCGGTGGTGTGGGGGTTGGACGCGCGAGAATTATTACTTCCGCTCCATCCCCCCTATTAACACGTAGGTCCCTACGTGGGGTGCGTGTGTACCGTAAACACCTCCGAAGCGGCTGTCTTATTTTTGCTTTTCATCGAAGCTATCGCCACCCCTCTATCTCTCTTTCTTTCTCTCTCTCTCTCTCTCCCTCTCTCTCTCCTCCTCTACCTCTGCTCTCTCCTTTGCCCTTATCGCTATACTTATTTTTTTTTTTTTTTTACATTTATCGTTACGCGATAACTTTCACCATCGTTCCCCAAACATTTTTCGTTTCCACGTTTTCGTCAACGACGTGGAGCCAACGATCCCGTCTCTTTCAATCTCGTTGACGTGTAATAATGGATTGGAAGCACCCCTCGTATTGACAGACTATGGACAGAGGGCGCGAGCGCGCGCGCGCTCGCACAGGCGTGCGCGATCCAACGGCCAGCGCGCACGCGTACACGCGTTATATCGCTAGCACTCGCAGCTAGCACGACTACGACGACGTGTGAAGGAGGCCTACGTCAGGCATCGCAGGGAGCTGCAGCTGTTCTTCGACAACCGCTCCAGCACTGGCCACCACGTTGCCACAGTCTCCTTCACTGGAATCACAGAAACTGACATCAGTCGCGCTACAACCATCGCTTTTACCGAAATGTTCGTCCACTCGAACGAATAATTACATCGACGCGTCTTATCTCGCCCGTTCTATAATTCATCGATCTTCGCGCGGATCGTCCGCGACGATCGTTTTGAAGAACCGGCCACCTGAAAAGAAGTTTTCAAACGGACCTGGACGAAAAAAAAAAAAAAGAAAAAAAAAGGGAAATGCAAAAGGAACAGCGTTGAATTTTCGCAGCGAGAATACTCGGTAGCAAGTTTCGAAAATAAATATCTACCTAGTAGTCAGACGTCAGTCTCGATGCTCATACAGGCTGGATTAATATTGTTATTATGGCGAGGGTTGCAGTTGGGCTTCTTCGTAATCTCCGGATGAGTGAGCAGTATGCCCTCTTCCAGCTCCATTATGTCCGACGACGATTCCGACATCGAGCTCTTCTTTAAATGTTGACCTGCGAACCAGACCGTGGACAAACGTTGGACAGCTTTCGAAATTCGACGACCGCGACCCGAGGCTACGTTACAAGTCTCGGTGGATCGAGTCGTCGTCTCGCGGAAGAGTACAGGGTGTATCAAAAATGTTGAAAGTCCTTGAAAATAGTGGTTCAGGAGGTGATCTGAAACAACTTTTTCCTTGGCGAAAATGTTTTCTGAAGGCTTCGTTAAGGAAATATTAACTGTTTTCTGTTAAACACGTTGATCGCCATGTCACCCATATACGGGTGACAGTGTTTTTCACTCAAGAAACTAGAAAGATTCATTCTGAAAGTTAGACGTCACAGCGGATGAATCTAAATGAAATTCATGAATTTCGATATGGTTACAAAATTAAATACCACGATAAATATTTCATTACCTAGACTCTGATAGTCTAAATGATATTTAATCTTAGCAGAAATTTTCAAGAATATTCGTTTGGCAGTCAACGTGTTGATATCTCCTTAACGAAGCCTCGGATAACATTTTCGCTAAGGAAAAACTTGTTTCAAATCACCTCCCGAACCACCTCCAACATTTTTGGGACACCCTGTATCTGCCGTTGGTTAGCGCGCGTTTGTCACGCGTCAATTGGTAATCGTTGTCAGCGTCTCGACAAAGGTACGCGAGTCGTCGACGTTCGCGGAGGAAGGCGTGAATAATCGAACGGTCGCTTGGTTCGCGCATAAGCGGATTAGAGCCACGGTAAACTACCGTTTCAGCAGAGGCGTAGACATGCGATATCGGTACATACTCGTGTCGGGATTTGCTCGGCAAGTCGGCTTGAAAATGTGACCACGCCTCGAGTACTCGCGGCGACCGTCGAGGACTGATGTCACGCGCGATCCCTCTCTTCTATTCTTATTTCTATCGTACTTACCGGAAAAGTATTCCCAATTTTACCTTGCGAACGTTCTACTACCGTTTCGATACTTTCGATTCCCTTGAATTTCGGTACACTTTCGAGGTCGTTCAACACGTTCACAGCCAGATGGAGACTGGATAAGCGAAAGAAAATCGGTACCCAAACATCGCGGTGTTTACATTTGGAGTAGAAAAGGACAGAGAGTGAAAGAGAAAGAGATGCCGAGGAAAAAACGCAGTCGATGAAAGCCGTATCGGTGAGACAATTGTAACGTAACAATACATATCTCGGTTAGGACGGTGCTTTTCATCGAAGAACTAAAGAAATTAACGCCGAGAGTTAAGCACCGAAGAAAATAAACTAGATGAACTTAAATAAAATTCCTCGATTTTTACCAAGTTACAATAATAAATACCACGATTTTATTACGTAGTCTTCGACAGTTTAAATAATAACCTAGCAGAAATTTTCGAGTTCGTCTGGCAGTCAACGTGTTAAAATCTCCCACTAGGGTGTACGTTTAATTCACGTTTAATTCTCGTTTAATTCTCGTTTAATTCCCGAGCCGAAAGTTCGCATATTCGAGGCTCGCGTGCCGATATCGAAAGGGAAAGGATCAGGCGGCAGGCTCGTACCTAAAGTGCCAGGGAGATACGGGCAGCTGGTCACGTGATTGAAGTTCTGCGACTGCATCTCTTCCTGGTCAGTCTCACGGTGATAGAAGTAGTTGAAGTTGGAGACGATGACGGGAACGGGCAGGGCGATCGTCAGGACACCGGCGATCGCGCACAAGGAGCCAACGATCTTCCCCCAGACTCCCACAGGCCTGAAGCAGAGCGAAATGGACGCTATGACTCGCGGTTTGCCGGGCGAACCGAGAGTCGATAGCTTCATTCCTCGTCTAGAAACTCGGTGCTAGGTGTGGTGTTTCTATCTTGTGTGAGTTTGCCGTGTCGAGTCGAGTGTGGCGCTACTTATGCGGTACTTGAAGGCTCCTATAGATATACACGGTCCGTCCGCGCGCGTTTGCCATGTCGCAAATAGAGATTAGACATCGTCGGGCAGGGAACGTTTACGCGTTCGGATTTCGCTCTTCGTATACCACCGTTTCGCCGATATTCTCGAACGAACAGACGTACCCGCGTGGCGATGCACACAACAAACAATTCGATCCCGTACAAAGTAAGCCACGATCGCAGAGAACGTGATGAGAGATCGTTCGAGATAAGAGACGTTGCAAGTGCGACGGGTTGCAATTCGTACAATTCGATATCACGTTGTAGTGGAACTTGTCTCTATTTATCGTGGACCAGGTGTTCGCAGGACCGTGTACACTTATAGCGATTCGCGTGGTCTTACAGAAGCGGGCTCTCTAGGCTAGACTAGGGGATCAAAGTGACTCTCTAAAAAAGGCTCCATCCTCTTATGTCGATGCATCGTACCAAACAAGCGTGCCATTCCGTTGCCGAGATTCGACCGGACCCTCTAACGGTACGACATGCAGTTCGCTGGACTCTCTCAGACTCGTTGCTGTAAGAAATCGAACGAGACTGCTCTTCGATCGAAACGTGCCGCTTAATTCCTGATTCGTCAACGTTCGTATGAGAGCGCACGTTGTTCGCAAACGCTGTTCGCAAACGCTGTTCGCAAACGCTGTTCGAATCGAGCGATTCACGGACAGCCTTACGTCTGAATTTCGCCGTGCACGCGTCATTTTCGAAAGTCGCTCGCGCTAATGAGCAATTACGGGCGGTGAGGGAAAAAAAAACGCGATTCTGGCGAAGCGACGGAGATTGGTGCAACTTTCTCGAGCGCGTCGAGTCGACGCAGAGGGCAGAGACGATCAGAGCGCGTTTCATCGAGTTGAAAAGCGCCGGAACTCGGTTGCGCGGTAGACCGACCACTCCAGTTTCCGTGGCCTTCGAATCTTACGGATATTCGCAAAATCACTAACGAGTCGCGATTTTCGAATCCGCCCCGCAACGAGCAACGTTCGTTCCAATTTCTTCGCGATTACTTTCCGATCGTTTCTGGGAGTCATTCGTCTCGCCTGTTTTCATCGTTATGGGAGCGGACTCCCGTGCCTTGTATGCGCTCGTACGCACTCACACAGCTCTACATCACTGTATACGTACACGGGACTGCAAGGGCTTGCGTATTGTCCTATTTTCGTCTCGACAATGCAAATTTCAGACCTCTCGATAGTCGTTTTCGCTAGATAAATGTTCAAACTTATGCGCAAGCTCCTCTACTTTTGCATTTTTGTGTCATAATTAATAATATTCAGCAGTAGTTCGCGAACAAAAGAAGCAATATGGTGGTGCGACTCTTCTCTGCTCTCTGGCCTTTGGTCGTGCGAAACGTGAGCTCTATCTAGGCGAGAGTAACCTCGATTTGCGAGTAAAATGCGAGCTATTTGGTGGTGAGTCGATGTTATTTAAAACTAATTGCAAAAAAAGAGATCATTCCTGCAAGTGTCACTGTACTATGGGCCTTTGTGATCCATGACTGATGGTGATAGCAATAACAACAGCGTTCCGAGAGCAAATTGGAGTGGTTTCCAAGGGAGTGAGATTATTCGCTAACTGTAAGTCTTTTAGAACTATGTCGAGTGAAAAAAAAAAAGAAATCGTATTCGGGACTGGCTGGATTAACTGTTCGATCGCGAATCAAACGCATGCACAAATACATCGGATGCGGGAGAGTACGGAAATGTGGAAATCGGGATATCGGGTAATTCGTCAATCAGTTTCGTCAAATTTCGACTCACGGGAGATCGAACAGAAAGAAAAAAAAAAAAAAAAAAAAAAAAAAAATCAAAATCAACATCAAGGAAGGAGAACCCGCGATCCGCGGACATTTTTGTTTACTTTTGAAAAATATACAAATCGATCGAAAGCAGCGGATGAGGGAATAGCGAACGCTTCCGCGATTCGCGGGAACGTTCCGAATATCGAAACCGTCGCGATCGAATCGAGTTAATTAGACGATAAACGACGAGTGTCGCTTTCAAGTATTCGCGTTCACGATGGATCTCGACGGTACGAGGCAAATTGCACGGCTATCAGAGCGTAACGATGCCTTAGAAACAAGCCCGCCGATCGAAGGGTTTCCAAAACTGCGATCAATCGCGGTAATGAGAACCGAGGAACTGACGTAACGAGACGCGACGCGACGCGATGCGATGGCTAAGTAGGCGGTAGAGGGTGGGACACACTTTCGAAGCGCGCTTCGACGGGAAAAGCTGGTTACGCGAGAACCTGGTTTCGATAGAGGAAGCGAGCGACGCCGGTCTCTCGACAAAGGAGTCCAGTTGGCTGCGTGTATCGTATAGGGAAACTGGAACAGGCCTCTCGCGGTAGACAGCGGAGAGAAACATCATCGTCGTCGACGAGAACGTATCGAAACAAAGGGAAAACCCAAAGACTCGTCGTTAATTACATTTCAACGACGTTACGTCGCGTGTGTTCAGGAAAATCACGTACGCGCGACGAAAGTTTCTCCGAGTCTAGAGCTCGAGATACGGCTCGTTAAGAAAAAGAAAAAGCGCGATTTTTACCTCGCAACAGGATCGAGAGCGTCCGTCGATTTCAAACGTTACGTGTATTTGTATTTGTATTTGTTAAAACACGCTTGTAGGTTCTCTTGGCTCGGGGCGTTCCCAAGAACCGTGTATACGTGCCGGTTACCCGAGGACACTTATTGATTTACAGGAGGCAATTGCTCAAGAAGCCCCTTTGGCTGTAACACCGGAGATCTCCAACCTCTCTCGACGGATGCTCTTGAATCTCGAGGGTCTACCGCGAACCACGAAACTACCTTGTCGATGTTATAATGTCTCTGTGCCCGCACGATGAGACGTGAAACGCGAACGCCCGGTTTAACGAGGCGTATCCGGCCGAGTTTAGCGATGTTAGCACCCCCAAATGAAAATTTTGATAAAAATCAAATTACATTCGTTTGTCCACGATTTGTCCACGTTTGTCCAACCACAATTTTCATTTGTCCACCTTTCAGAAAAAAGTTACACCGCAAACAAGCTAATTGAAGTCAACGCACCTATATAGACCTTTTTTAGGGTTTCCTTAAAAAAATGTGTCTTTCCACCTTTTGTCCAGTAATGTTTTTCGTTTGTCTAGTAAGTATTTTCGTTTGTCCAGCCTCCAGAAAAAAAGATACACTTCAATTAAGGAGAAGTTGCCAGCGATAAGCTCGGTTGCGGGTCATTTGTCTTCGTTTTATCAATTTTCTAGCTAATTATTTCTGTCTGCGCAGAACTGCGATCATGATCGAATCAAGTATGTATTTTTGAAGCTGTTACACTGGAATCACCCCTTATTAAGCGCAACAAACGAAGGAGAGAAGGGTTATCAAGCGGAGTTTAGGACCGTGGCGACGATTCTATGAAAATTGAACGACGAGGGTGTCGACGCGATTAAGGAAGGAAAGAAAGAGGATGTCGTGCTTCGTAGGATCGAAGAGAAGGCGAAGAAGAATGGTCAGCAAGACGTGTAATATAATCGAGCGAGTAACCAAGTAAGAGTTAGTAAAGTATCGAGGGAAAAGTAATAAAAGTGGTGTGTGTTCGTTTGTTTGGCGGGCATTAACTAGAGTCTTAAGTGAAAGTGAGTACATCATACGTCATGTCACCATAGCCCACGGTCGTCATCGTGACAACGGCCCACCAGAACGCGTCCGGAATGGACTTGAAGAACGAATTCTCGGAGCCGGCCTCCGCGAAGTATACCGCCGATGAGAATAGCACCACACCTGCAATGCAAGGAAGAAAACACCGGTTCAGTGGGTTTAACGCCCCCGGTGGCTCTGTACCTCATGTCCCCGTAGCCCACGGTCGTCATCGTGACCACCGCCCACCAGAACGCTTCCGGTATCGATTTGAAGAAGCTGTCCTGCGTGCCCGCCTCCGCGAAGTAAACCGCCGACGAGAACAGCACCACACCTGGAACGCACACAAGAGGAAGATACGGTTCAAGAGACGGTATTTTAGCGGCCTCTATAGCTCTGGTCGTCGGTTCAAGCCACTCTCCTCTCCTAGGCTGGATACTGGAACGCGACCGACGACCGATCCACCTTCTCGTCACACCTGCTCCCTCCGCATCGATGACTCTCTCCGGTCTCCGGTTAGTACTTAAAACACGTAACCGCCGACCGTGCGAAATCCACGGATTCGCCGGGTTCGTTCCGTTCCGATGATTGGACTCTCGGACCACGCCTCTGGAAACGGCTACACGCCACGGACGATCCTCGAACCCTCGGGTTTTTGGTTACCTAGATCGTACGGCTGCGAGCTTCCGGCGAACGTAGCGAAAGACTTCTTGGTAGGAGATTTCCCGATCTCTAACCAAGAGACTGTTTTATCGATTATTTTCTCCGTGTATCTTTTCGTTTTGTTTCGTTCGTTCGTTACGTTCCTTGTCGTTACGCAGGGATGTCCCGCTAGAAACAGGACACTCAAGCATATCCTTTATTCTCGACGACACGGAAAAATGTTCAGGGCATAATTTACGTGGTTCCAAAGAACGAATACGGTGAAACGGAATAGTTTCTTTTTTTTCTTTTTTTTTTCTTTTTTTCTTTTTTTCTTTCTACAGTTTTAACAGAGGTGACACCTCGTACATCGACGTTCGCCGAAGTCGTCGCGAGGTCGCCGTTAACGCGTCGTGGGCCGTTCGCGCGTTTATCACTGCGACCTCGCGGCCATTTTTCCGAACGTCCGTGCACGTACGAGCATAGGAACGACAATTTGACAGTCTCGGAGCAAGCAGTTTACTTACGTTTCGATTCGTGTGTTTTCACTAATCTTCGGAATACATATAATTATAGCACCTATAAATATAAGATCAAAATTACAAGTACCAAAGTCAATTTATAAATGTATGCGATAATTCGTAAGCGAGAAACTATGTAGAGAAAAGTTCGAGAAAACGAAAGTGTCTGAAAAGAGATACGAAAATCATTGGTGAAAGTGTAGCTAAATGGATTTTGCTAATTAACGAGTGCAAGCTAGTTTCTAGCGACATAGGAGTATCCAAATAGTGTATCTATTACGGTAAACGTAGTAAACTAGGGATTATGCATCGAGTTAACACTAAAGTTGGTAAATGTGATAAATTATGGAATGTTTGTGAAAATTTATCGGTGACTTTATATCATCTCGTAACGGGGAACGTGATAAACTCGTTGATGCATATGCTGTTTTACCGTTAATTGAATTTTTAGTTGGAAATTATAAAATATCATGTACGTAAACTTACACGGTGGACGCTCGCGCGATAGCGTCCAACAAAAAACTAGGTCTAAACCTGCTCGGACAGCATACGCATTAACAATTTTATCGGACTTCCGATCGCTAGTTGGAGGATTATATAAAATCGTCAATTTGATAAATATTTCATAATTTATCGCAACTACCCCAAACTTACTCAGACAGCATTTCCGTGTAGGCAGCATACGCATCAAGAATTTGATAAATGTTCCATTATTTATCACGTTTACCAACTCGAACGGGGATTATGCATAATCACCGCATTCGTCACATTCGCCGTAACACGTCGAGCAATATATTACAAGAGTACGAATGAGGAAATGTACAAAAATGTGACGATTTCAGAGATTGGAAAACAAACGATAAGAATCAAACAACTAAAAAGATAAAACTAAGTTACCTAGGTTTTGCTGTGTTTACTGACTAATACTAAGTTCTAGATAAATACTAGATTTACCTATGTGTTTTACTTTTGTCGGTTCAGGTTTTTTTCACACGGAAGCTACGTGTAATGAATTTTTAAGAAAAACGCTTGTACTCGGATGCATTCTCTCTCGCTCTCCCCCACACGCACGCACACACGCTTTCGCCAATAGTTTCATTTCAAACGAGAAAGCCAACGAGAAAATCAGCAACAAGAGCAGGAACAAAATGTACAATTTATCACATACCCTTATAAATCGAATCGCGTGCTCATAGTTTCAATTCGATATTTACGAGGTTTTTTTTTTTACCCGGAAAACTATCCAGCTATTTAGTATTTGAAAAGAAAGTAACTGACCTAGGACAATGGCGCCTTAATCTCCTTCAAAGTACTCCCATTGGGATCTGACATACTTATCCCGACGTTCCCCTTCACGTTTCAAACTGTCCTGAACGTCCTCATTTTGGGATCGCCATCGGCTGCCGTGTCGCGTTCTCTTTAATCTTGTCCACACGGTCTGAAATCTCCCCCCTTTCAACGGCGATTTTAGCTTTGGGAAAAGCCAGAAGTCACAGGGAGCCAAATCTGGGCTGTAGGGGGGCTGACAGACCTGGGTGATGCGATGTTCTGCCAAAAAACCCTGCGCGAGACTTGAATAAGGGGTCGGTTGTATCGTAGCGATAAAGTTGCCAGCTGCCCCTTACGCACAGCATGCGATTCATTTCTTCTCGCCGCGATCCTCAATCGGCGAACAACTTCCACGTGGTACATAGTTCCATATTCCTTATTCATTCGATGGCTCGGACGAGCGTATACGTGGTAGACGATGCGAAAAAAAAAAATTAATCTGTCGACGTTGTTTCCGGCTTTGCCGTCGTCGTTTTCCACAGTTTCGTTCGAGCCTCGCTCATCGGACTCTCGTCACCGAAAGAAATAGCCTTCGTTGGTCGTTCGTTAAACAGTTCCCGTCCGCGAACGTCCAAGCTCGATGGAAAACTGACACACAGATTCGCTCATCTACTCGTACGAGAATACGGATATCGTCGAATCTCTTTTCTCTGTTTCGTTTCTTCCTAAAGCCATTCATTCCGACGTCTCTCGCATCTTGTAACAAATACGTGTTTCGCCCTCAAGCTGACCGCGAGTATATATTCCGACTTTAAAATCAAACATCGAACTGGCTTTCTTCGAGTCTCTAGCACGGTGACTACAAGAAGATGATTTGCGAATGTACACCTAGCGTCACAGATTTCTGCCATTCGAGAGGAACGCGGCTCGCTAAACGTTGTCCGATTCGTTTTACGTTACGGAGAGTCGCAGCATCATCGCGTCGCCGACTATACGATAGAGTGGCTCGAACCCTTTCGAAACATCTAACCTATGAGCGACAGGCCTACGTGCGACGCGTCGCACGGATCGTTATGAGACAGTGATTCTTTGCCGACAGCTTCTTTTTTTTCGCAGACGTATTCAGATTTCCAACAAATTGTAGACATTTAAAAGTTTAAAGTAGATCATTAAGCAAACGATTAAGACTATAAACTTATCACAACAAGCATCGCGAAAAGCTTTTTGTACCGCGTCGGCGATCGTATTCATTCTTTGGAACCAGTAAAATGACGTCGGAAAGCATTCGTTCGTATCGTCCAAAAAAAAAAAAAAAAAAAAAAAAAAAAAAAAAAAAAAAAAAAAAAAGAAAGAAAAATCAAATAAAGGAGACATTCGGGCGTTACCGTTTCTGGTCGAACGTTTCGTATCGTCGACCGCGAATCGAACGGTGCGAAATCATCCAGCGATGCGTTTGCTACCAATCGGAAGGCGTCGAGAGCAACGGGGACCGTTGAAACGTGTCGTTTTCGACTCGCGTTCGAAAGCAGGTTGGCAAGGACATCGCTGGAAACTTTGCCGGGACCTGAATTAAAAATCGATAGACGAACGGGGGGTAGTAAATCTGTCGTGCGATCGCGGGAGGCCACCCCCTTGCCGAAATATACGAGGAGAATATAGCCTAATCACTTCGGAGGGTGGAAGACGCTGTTCTCCGTTCCGTCGTAACGTCCCTGATTTCGAGAACAAAATGCGAGCCAATGATTACACGGACTACAGTAAAGTCTCCTTACATGTGCGAGCTTGGAACTGAACTCGTGTGCGTTTGTCGCAGAAGTTTGTATATTTTCTGATGTTCGCCGATGGGCATCGAACGTTAGAGAAGAACAGCGAATAAAATTTTGGAAAATTTTCAAAAGAGGAAACGAGACAAACGTACGAATGAACTTAAGATTTATTCGAAGCCGAGGGTTTTGCCCGTCACTGGCAGGTCGTGCATCGCACACGGGCGCCATATCGCCACAAGAGTTTGTGTACTTTCTATGCATTACGACTAAGGTGTAACGAATCGTTCAGTCACACCGAGAGCTCAAACTAGCTTGTCCAGCTGCCGAAAAGTTGTGTGCAAAATCGTTAATGCTTGAAAATAGTATGCAACATATCGACAGTCTCGATTGTCGGTATTTTCGAAGTGAAAATAGAGTTATCCGAAGTTGTAAGAAATCTTTGAATTTACTGCTACGCAGCGCGGTGAACTTAATTCGTCTTTGATTTTGTCTGTTTTGGTAGGTTCCGGAGAAAGGCATTTTTCCAAATGATAAATTATTAAGAACTATTTACCTTCTACAACGAGTCAAGAACGATTAACTGATTCTTCAATTATATCTATTGAGAATGACATTCTAGATACATGAAATTTTATTAGTGACCCAACTGAAAATTTGGTGGCAGCCAAAGCTCGGCAGGGGTTAATATGTAAATAATTATATAACGTATAACGTATATTTGTTGTAATTTACCAATCATGTGTCATGGAAAGGGGCGATAAATTCGTCTTGCACACACACAGGCGGCTCTGTACCCCAGTGGGTTTCTGTTCGTTTAAGGAGACTTTACCGTGGCCTGTTTCGTCTGTCGTTGCGGCGTCGATTCGAGTAAATTAAATAGCAGATTTCCGGTTTCCCGTTCGTCCTTCGTATCCGCGGCATCAGGATATAAAAGTTCACCGGTAAACGAGCGTCTGTCGTTCCCAGACGCCAAACACGACTGAAGTTTCGGTGGAAGTAAACATGATCGAAGCGGAAGTCGCGTTCAAAGCACGCCTCTTCGTGCGAACGAAGCTACGCTACCGTTTAAAACTTTCGGTACATCTTGCACGCGCGACCGTGGAACCAACCGGACGGAATATTTCCAAGTTTCATAACGTTAACGTTTCCTGCGGCGGAGTGAAATCCTCGCGATTCGCGAAATAAACGAACAAGAAAAGAACGCGAGTACGGGCGCGGGTTGTTTTGGCGCGAGAACTGTGAAAATTGCGCGGATGTACCTAAACGTTTCGATGGGTAGCGTAGACTTAGCCACGTGACTCGAATTATAGGGAGAAAACGAGTTAGCCGATCGAATAGCTGGACGGTGATTCTAACGTTGATCGCTCATTTGCCGGGGCGATTCCGGTCGGACCAATTGAGCTATCCACACACCGTCTAGAGAAATTTCTTCTCCCTAAGCTCGATAATTCTAAGCGGCCGCTAGTCACACAGAACTTTGGTCGACAACAGATTCGTCGAACGTAAGGAACATAAGTTAGAAGAACAAGTAAAACATCGTAAAGCCAGCGAAGATAGCAACAGGACAAAAGGAAACTCACCGATGAAGAGGAAAAAGATGAGCAAGCCGAGCTCCCTCATGGAGGCCTTGAGCGTACGGCCGAGGATCTGAAGGCCTTTACTGTGCCTGGATAGCTTGAATATCCGAAACACCCTGACGAGCCTGATGACCCTGAGTATCGCCAGGGACATGGCCTGGTTCGTGCTCTTGTCCTGCGGGCTTACCGGCGCCTTAGGTAGATCGAAATCCTCCCCATTCTCGGCCATCACGGTGCCGAGCGTGATGAAGTAAGGAATGATCGCGATGATGTCGATGAAGTTCATTACGTCACGGAAGAAGTTCAGTTTATTTGGACAGGCGAGGAAGCGCACCGATAACTCGAACGTGAACCAGATGATACAAATAGTCTCTATTAGGAAGAACGGGTCCGTAATGTCCGGCACTTCGTCCTCCTCGATCTTCGTGACGTTCAGCGTCGTGTTGAAGACCTTGTAGTGTTTGAACTCGGGCAGGGTCTCCAGGCAGAATATCACAATCGACAGGAGAATCACGAACACGGATATTATGGCGACCACCCGGGCGCCCTGCGAGCTCTCCGGGTACTCGAACAACAGCCAGATCTTCCTTTGGAACTCGTCCGCCGGCAGCGGCTTCTCTTCCTCCTTGATGAATCCTTCGTCCTCCCTGCGCGTTCGTTCACAATTTAAATATTGTGCTGTTGCTTCAGCCCGTACAAGGTATCCCATAATTCATGATACAGTCGGAGGTCGGGGTGAAAATTAAGAGAAATATATTTTTAAAAACAGTTCATTCTCGTTCGAAGATAAACTTTAGTCTACGATCTTGACTTACCTTTCGACGAGGTGCTACCCCCCCCCCTTTTCAGTCGTACCACGAATTACGGTACACCCTGTATACATTCGAACGTATTAGGTTGACAGGAAAATAATGTCTGTCACTGTCTACGAACTACATATATCTTTTTAATCGAATTTCAAAATTGACTCTCCCAGCTGAGCTGAATTTTACTTCGCGGGATAAAATATCGTCAAGGCTTTTTTTGTTTTACGCGATCCTCTATATTTCGGCGAGTAGAAACCGAAAGCGCTAGTTTCGAGACGAGAAATCCGCTGTTTCAGATGTTCGCTATTTCGCGAGACATTAATTTCGTAGCAACCTAATATTTTCGGCAAACGGTACGTTTTTTAAAAGCAGGGAGAGGAACGAGAGATCTTCGAGTCGATCGCGCGATCCCTATCGCTACGAAGGAAAAAAATAACTGGGTGTAGGCGGTGCCGATGATGAAAACGGGGAAAAATTGGAAACTCTCTAGCCCCCTTTTCCCCCCTTTTGTTTTCGCGACAACGAAACTCATGAAATAACAATTTCACGATATTACTACCCGTTCTTTGCATTCTACTTTCCCGAATGAACGATCCAAGGCACGTTGCCAATCGAATCGAGCGCATTTCTGCCTCGATCGTTTTTTTTTTTTTTTGTCTTATTTTTAAAAGCAAACGTGCTACGACGCTCCGCATGGATGTATCGTGAATCCAGCCGTGGTAACATCGTCGTCGTTCTAGACACGGTGCTTTCGTACCTGAATTTGTTGGTTGCCAACTCGCCCAGCTCGTAGAACTTGATCTCTTCGGAAAAGACATCGAGAGGAACGTTGACCGGACGACGCAGCCTGCCGCCACTTTGGTAGTAGTAGAGTATCGCGTCGAAGGAAGGCCGGTTCCGATCGAAGAAGTACTCGTTGCGAAGCGGATCGAAGTATCGGAGCCGCCGTGACGGATCGCCAAGGAGCGTGTCCGGAAATTGGTTCAGCGTACGTAGCTGCGTCTCAAACCGTAACCCGCTCACCTGTTGGGATCGAAACCGATAATCGATTATGTTGGTGCGCCGCAGCCCATCCTTACCCGTAATCCCCTTTTGTCACCCGGTCACCAACTAATTGGCGCGCCAGGTCGATGCGTCTTACCCAGCTTAAACAGCTTTCGACAGCGATTCGCTAATTTCCTCGGCAAAATCGAATTAACGGATGCCAGATAGACGGCCGTCCCCGCTCATTTTCAGGGTGGACATTTTATAGCTAGGAACGTTTGCGTAGTTCGTTTCTCGAAGCTCGAAATTCGATATCGAGCACCTATATGTTTCCTTCGCGCGATTGATGTACGGTACATGTTTTTATTATTTATTTAGATGTCGGAAAGTCTACGAAAATCGGAACTCTGTTAACGTCGTTCTTTCCCAACTGTTCTAGTGAAAACAAAACTTATATACAGAAAGCATTAATAAAAACAAAGTAAGACTTGATATAATTACAGCTGCAATTAGTTGTTTAAATATTATTTTATCCAACATAGTCGTGCAATCGAGTACGCGGCAACTTCGAGATGACAACCGTCGAACTGACACAAAAGCTACGAATGGTTGCCGCACGAAAGGGGCAACTCTGCGCCTAGGAGATGAGAACCGATCCGACAAGCAGGTCGGTATAGGTTGCTGCGTACCAGGGGCACCTCTGCGCCTGCGATATAGCAACCGGACAACCAACTGCCTTTCTTCGGTTGTCGCACAACAGGGGCACCTCTGCGCCTACGATATAGCAACCAGGGCTACAAACTGACCAACTTCGGTTGCCATCAAACAGGGGCATATACTGCGTCTACTTGAAGACAATTATATTTTTGTTCACTTCTCGACATCTAACACCTCCTGACACCTTCTATCATCTCCTAATGTCTCCTAACATCTACTAACACTTCTCGACATCTCCTATCACCTCCTGACACCTCTCGTCAACTTTGCT